TATTTGCAAAGTGCATACGGATCTGAATGTCGTAGATCCGTTGACTAAACCTCTTCCGCGAGCAAAACATGATCAACACCAGAACTCTATGGGTGTTCGATTCATCACAGTGTAACTAGATTATTGACTCTAGTGCAAGTGGGAGACTGTTGGAAATATGCCCTAGAGGCAATAATAAAATGGTTATTATTATATTTCCTTGTTCATGATAATTGTCTACTATTCATGCTATAATTGTATTAATCGAAAACCGTGATACATGTGTGAATACATAGACCACAACATGTCCCTAGTGAGCCTCTAGTTGACTAGCTTGTTGATCAACAGATGGTCATGGTTTCCTGACTATGGACATTGGATGTCATTGATAACAGGATCACATCATTAGGAGAATGATGTGATGGACAAGACCCAATCCTAAGCATAGCACAAGATCATGTAGTTCGTTTGCTAAAGCTTTTCTAATGTCAAGTATCATTTCCTTAGACCATGAGATTGTGTAACTCCCTGATACCGTAGGAGTGCTTTGGGTGTACCAAACATCACAACGTAACTGGGTGACTATAAAGGTGCACTACAGGTATCTCCGAAAGTATCTGTTGGGTTGGCACGAATCGAGACTGGGATTTGTCACTCCATATGACGGAGAGGTATCTCTGGGCCTACTCAGTAATGCATCATCATAATGAGCTCAATGTGACTAAGTGGTTAGTCACGGGATCATGCATTACAGAACGGGTAAAGTGACTTGCTGGTAACGAGATTGAACGAGGTATTGGGATACCAACGATCGAATCTCGGGCAAGTAATGTATCGATTGACAAAGGGAATTGTATACGAGATTTCTTGAATCCTCGACATCGTGGTTCATCCGATGAGATCATCGTGGAACATGTGGGAGCCAACATGGGTATCCAGATCCCGCTGTTGGTTATTGGCCGGAGAGTTGTCTCGGCCATGTCTGCATGATTCCCGAACTCGTAGGGTCTACACACTTAAGGTTCAATGACGCTAGGGTTATAGGGAAGATTTGTATGTGATTACTGAATGTTGTTCGGAGTCCCGGATGAGATCCCGGACATCACGAGGAGTTCCGGAATGGTTCGGAGGTGAATATTTATATATGGGAAGTCATCATACGGTCACCGGAAGTTTTCGGGGGTTTACCGATATTGTACAGGGACCACCGGAGGGGTTCCGGGGGTCCACCGGGAGGGTCCACCTGCCCCGGAGGGCCTTATGGGCTGTATGTGGAAGGGAACCAGCCCCTAAGTGGGCTAGGTGCCACCCCCTAGGGCCCATGCGCCTAGTGTTGGGGGGACCCTAGGGGGCACCCCCCCCTTGCTTGGGGGGCAAGCTCCCTCCCCCTTGGCCGCCGCCCCCCTCTAAATCTCATCTAGAGGGGCCGGCCCCCCTTCCCCCTTCACCCTATAAATATAGGGGTAGAGGGAGGGCAGCAACACCACATCCAAGGCGCATCCCTCCCTCTCCCAACACCTCTCCTCCTCCGCATGAGCTTGGCGAAGCCCTGCCGGAGAACTGCTGCTCCACCACCACCATGTCATCGTGCTGCTGCTGGAGCTCTCTTCCTCAACCTCTCCCTCCTCCTTGTTGGATTAAGGCGCGGGAGACATCACCGGGCTGCACGTGTGTTGAACGCGGAGGTGCCTGTTCGGCGCTTAGATCGAAATCCACCGCGATCTGAATCACTACAAGTACGACTCCTTCATCCGCGTTCTTGCAACGCTTTCGTATTGCGATCTTCAAGGTATGAAGATGCACTCCCCTCTCTCTCGTTGCTAGTCTCTCCATAGATTGATCTTGGTGATGCGTAGAATTTTTTTAATTTCTGCATCGATCCCCAACGGCTCCATGGTAGGTGTTTCGACGACGAGCATTTGCAGCGGGTTTCCTGTTAATGCCCCAGTTCACTTCTCTTCTTTCCCGTCCCCTTATCTTTCACTCTAGTTGTTATTGGAATCATATACAAGATAGTTTCAGTAAGCAACTAATAGAAAGGGGTGTAAGGGCATCTCCAACACGGACCCTCAAAACGCCCCCATACGCCCGGATCGCGCACTCCAGACGTGTTTTGCAATTCAACGTGGTCCTGTATCTGTCTGCTGGCCCGTCTAGATGTATTTTTTCTCGCCAACCAGAAGCAAAACATGGGGCTTTGCGGGTCAACGCCGCTCCAGTGCGTCAACGTCGCATTCATGCCGGCCCAGAGCGGACGCGACCTCTCAAGTCGCTCTGATATTGAAGCAGCGTGCTGACCGAGAATGCCGCCCATGCTGCTTCTCGGCGCACACGCCTTCTTCGTGTTCAAACGACAACCCATCTGTCTACTCCATCCATTAAACATGTGCGGTTGCCGAGGAACCTGCTCCGGTGCCACCCGTTTGTCCGTCTGTCGCCCACCATTAACTACCTTGCGCCCGGCCTGCCATCCGCTTACTATTTAAACTCTAGGCCCGGCAATAGCCGCATACAACCTCCTCCGCTCCCGACCTTCTCTTGGGACCTCACCCACTGTGGCCTCCTCGAGCTCCAAAACCCTAGGGGACAGTCTCTTGTTCGAACAGAAGAAGGAGATCGCCGCCATTGCATTGCTGGCAGGTCGACAGACGGATGAGCTCATCGAAGGTCGGTGCTGCGGACGAGACAATGCAAGAGGTGACCAAAGACGAGCTGGCGCCACCGTCCTCGCCGTCCTATGCCAGAAGTCATTTAGACTAGGTTAGAGTACAGTTTAGTTGAAATATGTCGAAATGTAATGAATTTGCAACGGCTTACATGAAAATCATCGGGTTTTATGTAAAATTTATCCAAGTATGAATGAGAATCATCCAGTTTGTTTAAACATGCATCAAATTTGTTTGTTTTCATTAAATTTCGTTTGAAATGTCTCCGAACGTTTGTGGCTACGGTTGGATGCCCGGCTCTAGTATCAGTGTTCACGGGCAGGTCTCTTCTGTCCACGGACAAAAACGGTGTCCAGTTTGGGATCAACGTTGGAGATTCCCTCAACCCGGTTGCAAGAAAAGAATGCCAAAAAGAAAGGGAAACGATAACTATCACCCGACGGATTATAGCGCTCCATTCGCCGCCTCAGACTCACGCCACGCGTCCCATGTGGCCATCACCGTGTATCTTTTTTCCTTCTTATCTTCACCGAGAGCCACCCGTTCCCTTTCCCCCTCATTCATCGTCTACATCTAGCTCTGTAGTCACAACATGCCTCCATGCCATGCGTCTCTCCAGTGAAGTATTGACCTCGTCCATGACGAGAAACGCTCCATGGCCGGTGAAGGGTGCGGCAACCCAAGGCTGGTGTGTAGATGCTTGAAGTCGGCCACCATGATGCTGCCTGCCGGCTACGCCTGCGATGGAAGCCGCCGGACCGCACCGCGCCGCCTCTGGAGCTGCTTCTATCGTCACTCGCCGTTTGATGTCCCCGTCGTCCTGGAGGAGCGCCAACGTGCATGGCTCTGGCCTCCTCGAGCTCATATGCAACAACAAATTTGTTGCAATTTTTGCAACAAAGGTCTTGTTGCAGAAAATTAGACGCGTCATGTGGTCCTGTTGCAATTTCTGCAACAAGGATCTTGTTGCAGAAAATTATACGCGACGGAAGATGCTGTTGTAAATTTTGTAACCAAATCTGAAAAAAAAGACGCGACGGAAGATGCTGTTGTAAATTTTGTAACCAAATCTTGTTGCGGAAAAATAGACGCGGCAGAAGATATTGTTGCGGAAAATTAGACGCGGCAAAAGATGTTATTGTAATTTTTGCAAAGACCTTGTTGCAGAAAATTAAAGAAGAAGAGGGTTTGCAGTATGGGTCTTGTTGCAGGAAATTATAGAAGATGAGGTTTCGCAACAAAGATCCTGTTGTGGGAAATCAGAGCAGAGCAGATCTTACATCAAGAGCATGGTTGCGGGAAATTTGACAAGAGAATTGAACGGCTCATGTCACACAATCGAATGGCTCACGAGGCGGTGGATCTTCTAAAAGGATATTTGTTGTAAAAAAATAAAAAAATGCAGCTCGAGTAATTGCAACAAGCAGATTGTTGCAGAAACACCACTCTTGTTGCAAGGGATGGCTGCTTACGTTGCGTTGGTAGATCGGCCGGTTATTAATGTATCAATCCAATGGTCAGCAAGGCGGCGGATCCTTTTTAAATTTCCGTCGGACGCGTAGCGTCGCCAAAAAGAAAACTCAAACTGTTCAAAGTTTTTTTAGGTGAACTATTCAAAGTTGCAACAACAGTCTCCCTCTCAACGGTCCCCCTATCTTCCCCCGTTTAACCCACACGGCGACAGTCGACGGTCACCAGGCGCGGCCGTCGGGTGCTCCCTCCTTCCTGTCCACTTCATTTTTACCCATTTGGAAGCATCTGAGATTCCGGGACGGAAGTGGCCCGGTCCACGTTCCACAGTCTCCACTCCACCCCACCCCACCCCACCCCACACCGACCGCCCAGCCGCGCGTAGGCAGGTTGCCGCCGCACCGAGCACAGCAGCGCTCGCCCCAGGCCAAACCCGTGGCACCCGCAGCTCGTTTCTGGGGGACGACGAGCGGCGCAACAACGGGCAGAAGGGAAGATAAATGCGTCGCCCTTTCGTATAAAGATAAAGCGTTGGCCCGAGGCAGCAGCAAAGCCGAGCACCGCACCGCACCGCGAAGCCGAGCAAAACCGCGCGCGCGCGCCCGCGTGCATGCGTACTGCAGAGGAATAGAAGGAGAAAGAGGTGGTCACCGCGCCAGGTGATCACCGGCCCGCGGCGGGCGCGCGAGCGTACGACAAGCCGAGCCAGCCCACGGTGCGCGGCGGGGAGGGGAGCTGAGCTTGCGTATCATAATACAGGCGGACGCACCGCAACTACCATTGCAGCCCCCACCGAGAGCCCCGGGTTATTTTTATTCTGCTTCGCCTCCTTCTTCCTCTTGCACGTCTCGCGGGCGGGCGCGGGGCGGGGCGCGGGGAGCGGCCATGTGGACGCCGTCGCGCGGGAGCAACGCGCGGCGGACGGGCCACCGGCGCATCGCGGAGTGCCTCGCGGACGACCAGACCACCAACACCGACACCTCCGACAACGAGTCCTTCACCACCGCCTATGGGGACGAGTTCTTCGCCGGGGGGAGCGGGGGCGGGGGCATGCTCCCGGCATTCCTCGCCGACCAGGGGGACCTGGTGGAGGTCATGCTGGAGCTCGACGAGGAGTCCATGGTGGTGCGCAGCGTCACGCCCACCAGGGCCGCGCTCTACAGCGCCGCCGCGATGCCGCACACGCCGGAGGCGCCGGGCGGCGGCCCCCTCAGCCGCTGCTCCTCGACGTCCTCGCGGATACGGAAGAAGTTCGCGTGGCTGCGGTCGCCGTCCCCCGCGCCCTCGCCCTCGCCGCGCGTGCCCACGCCCGCCGAGCTGCAGCGTGAGGCGGCCATGGCGGCCCGCGAGCGCCGCCGCATCCAGGCGCGGGTCAACCGGTCGCGCGCCGGCGCCAAGCGCGCGCTCAAGGGCCTCCGCTTCATCAGCCGCACCACCGGCTCCCTGGAGGCCGCCGAGCTCTGGCGCCGCGTCGAGGAGCGCTTCAACGCCCTCGCCCACGACGGCCTCCTCTCCCGCGACAACTTCGGCGAATGCATCGGTACACCATCCCACCCCGCTCCGTTCATTACTACTCCCACTCTGTTCCTTTCTTGGCAACAACTGCATTCTGTACCCCCATCCCATTGTGCAATTATTAATGGCGACGATGTTCTTGGCCGTGCCTGTGGATCATCAGGAATGGTGGACTCGAAGGAGTTCGCGGAGGGCATCTTCGACGCGCTGGCGCGGCGGCGGCGGCAGAACCTGGAGCGGATCACCAAGGAGGAGCTCTACGACTTCTGGCTCCAGATCTCCGATCAGAGCTTCGACGCGCGGCTCCAGATCTTCTTCGACATGTAAGCACCACCGGAACCGAATTCCCCACTCATACATTTCCCTTCACCGGATCCCAAGCAACCGCTTTAGTCGGCCATTCCCGGCTTCCGATGCAAGCTCTCGCGTCGCATCCCAGATTCTCGATGCTCATTCTTCTTGTTTTGCCCCAAATTCAATTCAGGGTGGACACCAACGTGGACGGGAGGATAACGAGGGAGGAAGTACAGGAGGTGATGACTTGTTTAAACGCTTTTCCTCGACTCCTTTTGCGCTGTTCATTTCTCCATTACCAGCGCTTAGAAGCTTCTTCTGGGCGCCCAGCTCCAGTTACAGTCACGCTTGCTGTTACTACTTAGTTAGTTAATTACTGCTGCAGTAACTGTCACGGCTTTGCTGTTACTTTCACGTGCTCCGCTGCTGCTTCTGCTTCTGCTTCTGCTTCTGCTTCACTCATCAAGTCCCAAGTAGTAAAAAATTCTCATTGAATAAACTTTGGTCGTCTTCTCCGAGCAGCTGATCGTCCTGAGCGCGTCGGCGAACAAGCTCGCGAAGCTCAAGGAGCAGGCGGAGGAGTACGCGTCGCTCATCATGGAGGAGCTCGACCCGGAGAACCTCGGCTACATTGAGGTGCGTACAATACGTGTACCTGGACGACTTTAATTGTACGCGTTACGTGTACACCAGCTTTGGTCTCGGGACGATGACACGTGTGATGACTTTTGTCTCGGCCGCTCGCTCAGCTGTGGCAGCTGGAGACGCTGCTGCTCCAGCGCGACACGTACATGAACTACAGCCGGCCGCTGAGCACGGCGAGCGGCGCGCAGTGGAGCCAGAACCTCGGCGTCGGCGCCAGCGGGGCCGTGCCGCACGCGGCCAAGGGAGAGGACGACGACGGCAGCGGCCCGCAGACGTGGGGGGAAGAGATGAGGGAGCGGCGGCGCGGGTGGGGCCGCGGCGTGGCCAAGGCGGCGTCGCACGTGCGCGTGGCGGCGGAGGAGAACTGGCGGCGCGCGTGGGTGCTGGCGCTGTGGTTCGCGGCCATGGCGGCGCTGTTCGTGTGGAAGTTCGTGCAGTACCGGCGGACGGCGGCGTTCCAGGTGATGGGGTACTGCCTGCCGACGGCCAAGGGCGCCGCCGAGACGCTTAAGCTCAACATGGCGCTCGTCCTCCTCCCCGTCTGCCGCAACACGCTCACGTGGCTCCGCTCCTCCTGGGCCCGCTTCTTCGTCCCCTTCGACGACAACATCACCTTCCACAAGGTACGTACGTACGCTTGTAACGCTTCTCTCCTCGCCGTCCGATCACTTCTTTCGAGTCGTTATTAGTAACTGAGGTAGACTGGTGGTGGCTACCGTCACCGCGACTCTGACGAGCCGGGTGGTTTGGCCGTCGCCGTCGGCGACGCGGCGCGGTGGTGCGTCGTTTAGCCGGGGGGAGCGTGGCGCGTAACGTGGAACGCCGGCGCTCCTGGATCATGTGTGCCACCCATGTGGTCGCTCGAGTCCTCCTATCACTCCACCCAGTGCTGCCATGGCATGGATGGAGCTATCAGCTATGTGATCCTACTGGAGTGTGGACAGTAGTCAGTGGACGGGCTTAACGTGCTGTGTGCTTGGTCTCAGTCCAAATCCAAAAATGCACAGCCGATCCCTCCGCCCTTACCCCACCGGGAGTGAACCGGGAGTCCAAACAGAGAAGTCAGTCGTGTCGTGCCCTAAAAGTCCAAGGACTGACAAGCCATTGGCACGCCGGAGTGGAGCTGACCGAATGTGGCGAGCAACGTGCACCAAACGCAGCGCAGGTGGTAACAAAAGAAATCTTTGTCTGTTTACTCCGTTTCAGATGATCGCGACGGCGATCGTGGTGGGGATCACGCTGCACGCGGGGAACCATCTGGCGTGCGACTTCCCGCGGGTGATCGCGTCGGGGCCGGAGGAGTACCGGCTGGTGGCGGGCGCGTTCGGCGCGTCCAAGCCGACGTACGGGCGGCTCATCTCCGGGGTGGAGGGCGTGACGGGCATCGCCATGGTGGTGCTCATGACCGTCTCCTTCACCCTGGCCACCCACCCTTTCCGCAAGGGCGAGAAGGAGGCGTCCGCGTCCCGGCTGCCGGCGCCCCTCAACCGCCTCGCCGGCTTCAACGCCTTCTGGTACTCCCACCACCTCCTCGGCATCGTCTACCTGCTCCTCCTCGCCCACGGCTACTTCCTCTTCCTCGTCCGCCGCTGGTACGAGAAGACGGTACGTACCCACCCATGTTTTTTTCATTCATTCAAGTATACGTAGCTTTCGCGAGGCCGACGGTGCTCTGGTCCGCGCCGTCGCAAAGCTCTCTGCCCGCCCGTGCGCGCGCGCTCGGTCGCTTTATTCGCGAACGCCGTTGTCGAGCGGTTTGGTTCTGTTCTCTTCGGCCTAGTGGTGCTTTACGTTGCCATCTTCACTTTATATTTCTGATGATGAGGAAACGTGTTGCCATCTTCTAGAAAACGGATCGATCGATCGTGTCACGCTCTCTCCTCTCGCGGTCCGTCTCGCTCACGCTCTGCCCCGCGCGCCCTTACACGCGCCCATCAGACCCGGAGCAACCCTTGCCGACTTGCCGTTACTCGTGACAGGAACCGTGCGCCAAGAAAAGAAATAAGAATGTTGAGAGGATCGTGCCTCTTCCTCGAAAAAGTCCGTCCATGTGATGTGACTCCAACAGTAAATAGAAGGCGTGACCGAGATAAGTATTACTAATATATTTTCCATTCATCGGAAGGAGAATACTCGTTAGTCTGAACATGGTGGCTGCCTGCATGTGGGGGTACTACTGGTGCTAGACGATTTAAGTATTGATGTCGGTGGCCACCGGGGTCAAACCAGAGGCGAGCCGTGCAATGCAATGACAGCCCAGCTATTCCGTGCACCGCCCTGTAGTGCATGTACCCCGATGGGGTCGGCATGGTCAATCTGTCCGGTTAGGATCATAAATGTGGGCCGCGTTCGACGACTTGGTGCGAGGTAGGCAGACGAAGATCGAGACGGTAGCTGTGTACCACACGTACTAGGTGTGTGGCAGCGGACGCGCGGTGCCACGGCCCACTGATGTGTGTCGGTAGGAGTCTGAGGTTCTCGATCCATGACGAATGGATCCAACTGTGCTGCTGACTGCCGAGCCATTCCGGTCTGCGCCCGTCTCCTACTCTCCTTGTGCACTACTAGGTCGTGTTGCCAGCCCCCTGCAATGTTGACGTCGCCGGAGCACCATCTCATCATAGAAACTGAAGCATAGTTCATGCCCGAACCAATAATATACTACAGTACTACTTGGTGTGATATCTAGTACTACCCTACCATCACGCATGTGTACCACTATGATAAACATGGTTAGGAAACGCAGATAAGATAAGAGTTTCGTTGATCATGGTCCTATGTTTGCTGGTGGATCTAGCCATGATCGCTTTACAGCAGGCAAGCAGGCAGGGCGTTTCGTTTTGTATTGGGTGCTGAAATGGGTGACCATCGCTAGTAACACTAATCATCAAGATAGAGCAGGAGTATAGATTAGATCTATCTATTAATGCCATGAATAGCCGTAAGTTGCTTTACAGAAGGAAGCACTGTTGCCAACTGGAGTGGAGTGGAGTGGAGTGGTAGCACTCCACAAAATAAATCTCCCATCCATAATCCATTCATTCATCACCGAATAACATGGGCAGATCCATCACCAATAAATGGACAACTAGGCATCATCCTAAAGCCCAACGACTTTACTACCCCACCCTGCACGAGCGAGCGAGAGGCGGTCACAAACTGCTCACGACCATCTCAATTACCACCGCCTCACATAATGATCCACCGTCAGCAGGCAGGCCACGCAGCATCACAAATCTGCAAGTGATGGATCGATGATCAACTCTGCCTTAGCCTTTAAGCTTACGATGATGAACTCTGCCTTGGCCTTGGCTCCAAGCACTGACAAGTAGTGGTAGTAGTATGACACTGTTGCTTTTCCTTATTTTCTTCCTTTCCTCCATATCTGGGGCGCCACATTGTCAAAGGCGCCATTAGCTTTGACCCCAGATCACATGGCGCTCAAAGATAGTATATTCCCGCCCACCTACTGCCCCCGGCCGCGACGACGCGACGAACGGCACCGACCGGCCGGCCGGTGCCGCTTTCCTCCCTCCACATTTGCCACGAACTCCTCATCACTTCCGTCCATGGACATGTGGACGCTGCCTCGGACCTTTCCCCCATTACGGACGCCACTAATTTTGGCTTGCTCGGTGCCCATTACCATCTCACCCAACTCTGAATTATGGCTAGGATAAGATTAAGTACTTTTTCCCTGGTGGCTTTGCTTTGTAAATGGGTAGTATGCTTGTACTACGTGACCAGTGACCCCCACTCGAGACTTGAGAGCAATGTGAATGAAGGCGAGAATGGCACATTGTACGTACTCACATGCTGTGCGGTTGCGGCAGCGTTTCAAAATTATTGCCGTGCTACCGGGGCCAAGGGGCTGAGTTGTAAAGGCAGGGCAGGGGACGGATGGTCATGGGGTGGGGTGGGGGTGGCATCTCTCTAGGGATCGGATCCGATTAAAGAGGCTGTCTAGCAGCTAGTGAAAGGCAAAAGAAGAAGACACAGACAGAGAGAGAGGCCTCGAATCGCGTGACGGTGAAACTTCCCGTGCAATCCATCCATGGGAGGGAGTGTGCGCGGCAGCAGCAGTCGGCACGGGGTCTCACGAACTGCTTTCCTTCTTTTCCTTTCCGCTGGGCATTTTTGTAGTGGGAGCCATCCGCCGCTGCCCGCTGCGTTCTCTGATGCACTTTGCGATCTCCAAATGCTTTTCACAATGTGCTTCTCTGAATTTTTCTCTGCTACTAGATAGAGAGTCAGTGGCACGTTTAACCAGTTTGAGACACATGGGGGTAGGATTTTGCTGCAGGCAGGTAAGTGCCATTTGCACACTAATACTAAGAAGGTTCAGCTGTCAGAGAGGAAACCCATGTTCAGCACGTTCTTGGTGGTTATACTCGCAACAGTACAAGCCTACGTGTTTGCTAAGCTGAATTCTAGCGATATTATATCCGTAGGTTTTTAAACTCACCCTGTCGCGCCATTCTAGAAGCACCAAGGAATCTGACAGCTGCCAACTCGAGTGGCTTGATTTTTTCTTCTAACATATTGTCTACGAAGTCTCGTTTGGAGCATTACCATGTGCGAATTTCTACTCAGAAACAGTGTCATGTGGAAACAGCGGTGTTTGTAACCCGCCATGACTTCTGCACTACGCTCAATCATTGCAACGGCTGGCTCTTGTTTGGAGCATTCAGTGTTGCGTTGGTGATAATCGTAGCAGCCCGCTGACATGGTGTGATTGATCTCTTGGTGTTTTCAGACATGGATGTACATTTCTGTCCCTCTGCTGCTCTATGTCGGCGAAAGGATGCTGCGAGCCTTGCGGTCGAATGCTCACCCTGTCAAAATCCTCAAGGTAAGTAGTAGGTAGCAGAATTATATTCCTGATGATTATAAGTGGGCGGATTTCTTAGATGCTGCGAGTATCCAGCACTATCTTCCGTCGATAAAAAAAATGATCAAAAGAAGATGCACCACTAATATGATAATTGTGTGCTACTGCTCAATTTTTGCACAGATGAACCTTGTCTTCAGGCACCAAGTGCCTTCACACACACACCACTACTATTAATGGATTGGTTGGTGTGTGATAAGACTAAAACAGATCCATCAACATCTGGAAACAATTTCTAAAAATGGTCAATGTTGTGTTGGTCTTGTGGGATACAAATGATATTGCCACTACTAAAACAAAATCATCTGCAGTGGAATATAGCCTCTACTTGAGCATTTCTGTCCTTTTCAAATTGGCTGTCCCTTTCTATCAGCCTCCTTATATAAAAGTTCCACGATTTCGGGTTGATTGTTCATTAGTTTATTCTTCACTGAGGGCTCCTCTGCCTGATGTAGTATCAAATTTCTTTTTTTTTGTCTCTGAATCAAGGTTTAATCATTACTACTGGCATTAATAAGATTATCTGATTTATGAGTTTCAAATAATATTTTACTATATGGTTTTAGGGTTTTAAATGTTATTCTGAAATTTATATAGGACATGATGTACACACAATATTCATGCATGTTCTTATAGAAACTTGATTCACTCAGGTATTGCTTCTACCTGGAAGTGTACTGACAATACAAATGTCAAAGCCCTACGGATTTCGATATAGGAGTGGACAATATATCTTTCTTCAGTGCCCGATGATCTCTCCATTTGAATGGTGTGTATAGCCTTCTTTTGTTTCTCTGCTTGGCCTAGTTTTTAGCACAGCAATTCACCTTGCTTCTGCTCTGTTTTTCTTCTTCAGGCATCCTTTCTCCATCACCTCAGCTCCTGGAGATGACTACCTCGCTGTTCACATTCGCACAAACGGAGACTGGACGCAAGAGCTCAAGCGCATATTTGTCGAGAACTACTTCTCGCCGCACATGAACAGAAGAACTTCATTCAGCGAGTTAGGCGCGGCAGAACCTAGACCCACTCCCGCACCAAAATTGCTCGTTGATGGTCCATATGGCGCGCCTGCACAGGATTTCAGAAACTACGATGTTCTGCTTCTAGTAGGCCTTGGAATTGGAGCAACACCGTTCATAAGCATTCTAAAGGACCTACTTAACAATATTAAGCTAGCTGATGAGCTGATGGTATTTGCTTCAACCTATTTTGTTTGCATTTTGGCAGTTCCCTGAGATTAAGCTTATTACATGATTTTCTGTAACTATTAGGACTTGGCAATGGAGACTACTCAAACTAGTAGGTCTGAAGACAGTGCCAACAGCTTCAGTGTCTCAACAGCTAGCAGCAACAGGAAGAGATCATATAGAACAAGCCGCGCACATTTTTACTGGGTTACTCGCGAGCCCATGTCATTTGAATGGTTCAAAGGAGTGATGAATGAGGTTGCCGAAATGGACAAGAAGGTAGGAGTGCATGCCTTCCTTTTACAGATCGCCCAGCAATGTTTTTTACTTTACTGATGATGAACTACTCGTCATGCAATCTTAACCAGGGTGTCATAGAGTTGCACAATTATCTTACGAGCGTGTACGAGGAGCGTGATGCACGAACAACTCTGTTGTCGATGGTCCAAGCTCTAAACCATGCCAAACATGGTGTCGACATCGTGTCGGGCACCAGGGTAAACTTGCTTTCTTACAGTTAATGGATCACAAATATTCACCATATAGGCACGAGTATATAAATAAATGGAAAGCCTCCTTTTCTCTAAGGAGGAACCGACACACAAACTATCCGATGATTAGCTTGTGTTTTCATGTCTGCCTGACATCCGCTGTGCACTTGACAGGTGAGGACACACTTTGCCAGGCCAAACTGGAGGGAAGTCTTCACCAAAATCGCAGCTAAGCAGCCGAATTCAACAGTTGGTATGATCTTTCTTGCATCAGTTGATATCAGCAACAATATTCCTAAAATCAAGTGACGTCCATCGATCGACTCCACACATTCACTTGCTCACCAAGGATCATTGTGATTCGTGCAGGAGTGTTCTACTGTGGCGCGCCGACGCTGGCCAAAGAACTGAAGAACCTGTCGCACGAGATGAGCCACAAGACGTCGACGCGCTTCCATTTCCACAAGGAGTACTTCTGATGGGAAGAAGCATTGTTCTTCTGATCTGCATAGCGTTAGGCACCGGTAAAGAAGGAGGAATTTTTTGCACAGAAGCAAAGCAAACTGACCTCTCTCTCTTCCTGATCTGGAACTGTACATAGTATAAAGAAGAACAGCCTGTTAGGGGAGGGTAGTTAGTGCCATTTATATATTATTAACAAAAAAGAAAGTAAAGCAAGGCTGCTGTATCCAAAAGGAGAAGGAAGGAGGCAGGGTAAAGAGTTGGGTTAAATTTCAGATATACTAATATACATGTACACAGTATAGTTTTAGGTAGTTACGTATGAAATGCTAGCTAAAGCATATTTACAAGGGCCGGAGGCTGCCATTCTGAATGTAAATCTTCCGGGCATTCATTCATGTGTGCATCTGTGCCTGTCGGCTGCTGATAATAAACTATTCGGGAATGCGATCTTCTATGATGGAGTACGGGAAATGAGAAGAAAGCTGGGAAATGTTAATGGGGAACTTTCCCTTGGGGAGGTTCAGGGAACACCCACACAGCTATTGGATCCAGATCACGCGGATGGCAACAACAACAAAATAGCTAGCAGTTTTCTGCATTACATGGCAGTTTTCTCTTTCGATCATGGCAAGTCCTGGTTAAAACAGCATGTAAAGTTGCCTCTTTTGTGGGGTCAGGGGTGCATGTAAAGTTGCCATGGCAACTTCAGTTCAAATTGCATGACAATTTGAGCGTTTGTTGGGAAGACGCTCCCAGGAAATGTTCGCCAGATATTGGTGTATAGAAAGATATAATGGAAAAGTGGGAGCGAGCAATATGGAACAACTGGCCGAGTGAGTCTCAGCGGCAAGGAAGAGAAAATGCATCAGAGTCGATTTGTTCACGCCATGCACCCTGTGATGAGGACATCAATACCATTGTTAGACCCACAGTCTCTGCTGCTATATATACTGGACCAATTACTAGAGCTCGCGCACGCCAATTAAATTATCAGGTATTTTCGTTTCTTGGTAATGATTCTAATGTTCATGAGAATATGATGCTGCCTAAATTGGATACATTTGTTTTGCTTACAAATGAAGGGCCTAACTTGAAGAAGGATGAACATTGAAATAAGAACAAGCATGGAGATGATGACATGCGCAAGGGGAATAAGAACGGAGTTACAAGTGATGATTTTAGGACGTTGAAGCCACCATAATGAGTGCATGAAGCCTTGGACGAAATATACAAGATGCTACTTCATAACTTTCGTCCAGAGGCTATTCTAGGTGCTGCTAGGTCAGACCCATGTAATTTCGAAATACTTGAGTATAAGCTGTTTTAAGAGTCTGTATGTGTGGGGAAACAAGAGATAGGGTTGGTTTCGGACCCCTTCACCAAGGGCCATGAAATTCCCCCCTCTTCCTCCATATATACAGCCCTTAGGGCGTCGTTTAGAATTTGGGTTTTGTTTAGATTAAAGTTCGCCATAGCTGCAACTTCGCATACTTCGTTTGTGTTCAATGACCAGACAAAGACGTCACACAACCCCTCCTTGATCAATAAAGCTTTCATCTTATATTCGCAGTATCCAGATTGCAATCTTAGTTTCTTGTTTGTTCTTCGTTTGCTGGCAGGAATTAGACTTTCGTGGTCAGGTTGATCGTGCTCCGGCATGGTCAATAACCTCTCAGAGTTGGTTTAGCGATTGCTAAGATGCGACGTCCTCGCATGTACGTAGTCGGATCGTCAAAGTCCACTCCTCCGAAACGATAATCACTATCTCATCGAAAGACGGGACACCTTTGCTTCTATCAAGTGGTATCAGATTTTCAGGTTGCTCGGTGAGATTTTACAGTTTTTCGTAGTTTAGATCGAGTATGTTATCATACCTACAGTCCATGAAAAAGCCACAAAAAATTAGGGTTAATTTATCATATCCGAACCAGTCTGAGCCATTGCATAGTCTTTTCAGTATTTTGCTTTATTGAATTTGCGGTTGCATCGTCGTGTCAATTGTTGGTCTTAGCGCCTAGTCTTTTAGAGTTTCGAGTTCTGGTCATAGTAGTCACGCCGCTGACGCACCATCATCTTTGCCCCTGCCATCTACCACCACCGCTTATCTGCCACCACTCTGAATCCATATACGACCACCGATCAGTATCCATATACCACCACCGATCCGAGTCCATATACCACCACCGCTCTGAGTCCATATACCGCCACTGCTCCGAGTCCATATACCACCACCGCTCTGTATCCATATACCACCATCATTCCGAGTCCATCTCATATTAGGTTGCTTTCGCGATCCATCTGTTTCCAGATTCGTGTTTTCTTGTTCTGAGTAGGTTTCAGATTCCATCAATCTTTTATCGTCCGTAGAAGAGGTTGGTTTCCAAAAAAGAGTTTGTAAACCACCCTCCGTTTAGGCCCAATTTTTTTCAGAAACGCACTTGTCAAGAAAATTGGCTATCCTATTTTTAGGTGTTTCCAAGAGTTTTGAGACAGGTGCCATTATAGAAAGTTTTTTTTGAGCCGTTTCCAGATTTTGGTTCGGGCAGTCGAAAAAAATTCACAAAATTTTTGTGTCTATCCTATTATCTTGACTTGGGAAGAGTTTTGAGACACTCGCCATTGTAGTGATTTTTGGCAAAAAAAAGAGGAGCGCAAAAAGAAAGAGCGAAAAAAATTAGAGTGTGCTTTCCCCATGTTTCCGTGCAGTGCCATGATTTTGTTAGTATTCTAGGCTCGCGTCTCTAGCACGGTCTAGCCTAGGACCAACACAGTACCGTCGTTGAGCGTTTCTTCAACTTTGCATCTCTGAATTGATTATTGCTGACCCTTTTTACTACCATATTATAAGTCCTCCCAGCTCCACATACATCTACGTCATGCGTTTGACTCTCCTTGGTAATCACTCTATCTAAGCTTTGAGAGTTTTGACTACAACGGTTGCCGATCACCACCTGCTGCTGAGTAAGAACTGGTAAGAATTTGAGGTTCGCTTGACGGATTTGTGACACACCACCACCACCACTTCCTATTAGTATGTACGATCATATTCTTGTGTGTTTCTATTGTTTCTAACCATGGCAGGATCACAAGCCGATGAGACCGATTGGGAGAACATGACAAACAAACAGCTACATGATAAGTTCAAATGATGAGTGGATAGGTGCAAAATGTGCTAAACATATTTGAAGAGGCCACAGAGAAGATAGATGACATTGAGAAGTCATTTGAAACAAAGCTCGATAACAAGTTTAATGAATTGCTCGCGCGTCTTCCACAACCACCGCCGGCTCCACCTGTCGCACCTCTACAACAACAACAACAACAACAACAACAACAACAATGCCTTCCGAATCAAGTGGGACGAGCACATCGCGTACCCCTTGAGCTAGGACAAAATTCTGGTGCTGCTGCTTCTTTGGCTCCTGCTACTGCTGCTGCTGGTGCCGAGGAGGGTGATAATTATGCGGGCGATTACGAGGATGAGGTTGATCAAAATTAGAACTACGTGCAACCACCAGCACCAGGTCGTCCACAGGCATATAATCGCAATGGTAGGGCCGTACTACCAGTTCAGGTACGAGATCATGACCATCTACCTAAACTGAAATTGAATATTTCACCATTTGAGGGTAGATATGTTCCTGATATATATCTTACTTGGGAGTTAGAAACTGAACAACGTTTTACATGTTTACAATACCCCGAGGAGAGACGTGTTGCTGCTCCTCTTTATGCTTTCACTAGTTGTGTGTGGTGGTCTGAACACCGTAGATTATATCCGAATAATATTACAACTACTTGGGCTGCTTTGAAAACTGCTATGCGTATTCGTTGGGTTCCACCATATTATCAACGTGAATTACTTCAAAAATTGCAGCATTTAAGACAAGAAAAAAAATCTATAGAAGAATATTATCAGGAATTACAAACTAGAATTATTAGATGTGGTATTGTTTAGGATAATGAAGCTATACTTGCACGGTTTATGGGTGATTAAATAAAGAGATTTAGACCATTCTAGAGTATAAGGAGTATAATAATATAACTCATTTATTCTATCTTGCTTGCAAAGCTGAACGTGAAGTGCAGGATCGACAGGCATTGGCGCAAACTAACTTTTCTGCAGGTCGACCCTCATCATGGACACCGCGTGCATCCTCTACTCCCACACGCCCTACTGCAGCACCACTGACTTCAGCCGCCAATTCCAACCGAGATACAAGAAAACAGGCACCATCACCACCATCTGCCAGGAGTACACCTTCCGGTTCTGCACAGAGCTCTTCTTCATCCATGGCATCAATCGGGCAAACACATGATATTATTTGTCGTCATTGCAAGGGTGGAGGTCATTATGCAAGAGAATGCCCATCTAAGCGTGTGATGATTGCTACTGAAGATGGTGGGTATGAATCCGCTAGTGACTATGACGAGGAGACTTTGGCTCTTATTACAAGTGAAGAACACGGTGGAGATGATTCTGATCATGAGACGCAATACATGGCTCCTGAAGACGCTGACAAGTATGAATGTTTAGTTGCTCAACGTGTTTTGAGTGTGCAGGTCACACAAGCTAAGCAAAATCAGAGGCATAATTTGTTCCATACAAAGGGAGTTGTGAAGGAACATTCTATTCGCGTCATAGATGGAGGGAGCTGCAACAACTTGGCTAGCATGGATATGGTGGAGAAGCTATGTCTCACCACAAGACCACATCCACATCCTTACTATATCCAATGGTTCAACAACAGCGGCAAGGTTAAGGTAACACGTACTGTTCGTGTGCATTTTGGTATCTCTACATATGTTGATTATGTTGATTGTGATGTGGTACCTCTGCAAGCATGTTCCTTATTACTTGATAGACCATGGCAATTTGATAAATATTCTATACACCATGGTAGAAACAATCAGTATACTCTTGTTCATAAGGATAAAAAATATTACTTTGCTTCCTATGACTCCTGATTCCATTTTGAAAGATGATATTAATAGAGCTAATAAAACAAAACAT